ACACACACGTGCATTGATTTCCGCTTGGATTTTACCACTGTAATAACTGTTTATGTAATGCCATCAAAGTCAACCGCTCCGCGGAATAGTCGAGGGCCACCTCGAGTGGCACTCGTCAAATTGGAACTGGCCACCGCGACTAATTTATAATTAAGGGAATCAGGAGAGAATGAAATGAGAATAGAATGCAATGGGAAGAGACTCAAATATGGGATATTGCAGATCAATTGCGAGTGACCATTAACGGCCGGCTCAACGACCTCACTTGTGCTAACGAGACGTCGAAGTACCTCAACATGAACATTCCGAGGTTGATGTGTTTTGAGTGATTTGAATTTCAAATTCTTTACGAGCACGAATAAAGCCTCTGTACACGAGCTTTTCGCTCGTTAAAGGGGCCTCTTTTCGGGTAAATGCCTTCTTGGCACTTCCTTCGTTTTTTTCGATGCTCAATTTCATATTTTGCCAGGAAAATGTACACTGGGAAATATTTATAGGGGAGACTGGACATGGAGTGCAAAATGGAGCGTCCGCAGTCGTTAATACCTCGGGAACGGTAGAACCAAATTCATCAATTTTTGTCTCATTTTGAAGTTCTATTTTCATGCTTTGAAATGAAAATGAAAACATTTCATTTGACTCTGCGGTTACTTAGTTATAGACCATTGAAGACGTTTCATGTCGCACCACTCTAGCCTCTTATGAAATTCACACATAGAAAACAATAAAAGTTAACAATCCTTTCAGAAGTGTATGAAATGAATTAGCAATCAAAATGACCACATAATTATCAAATCAATGATTTTATTAAAAATGATTAGGGAATTGTTTTATATTGCTTATGTTATAGTTGTCTTTGCTAATAAATTAGCAATATGCTTCCGCATGGTTATTTTCGAAATTCAAATTAATGTTGGTCAAATAATCTTTTTCTGCCACCATTGTATTCGTCTCCTAACTGATATACGCAGATATCGTCGAGAGTTTCTAGGGGAAAAAAAGGAATTTCACAGAAATTAAAAAAAATATTATTGCAATCACTTTCATCTTCAAATTCGCTCAAGAGGACACCAGGATAATTTTTTTCAGCCGTAATTCAATTGGTTCGGATGATTTGTTTTGAGTTATCCTGAAAAAAAAACGATTTTCAAGAAAAAAAAAATAACAAGAAAGGCTGAATGAAATGAACTTATGTTTACGGCAATAGATAGAGCCCAATAACACCTGCATTAAAAAAGAAGATTCAATTAGACAGAGATGAGGATGAGCAATCAGACAAAATGAATGGAAAAAAAATAGCGTATACACACATACATACACTCACATACGGTTTAAAAACTGCATTTTTTGAACTCCTTGAGCTATACTGAGTTGATATATGACAAAAAATGAGAAACACAAATTTGATTGATTATAAAGCTTCCATGTGGAAGCAAAAAATGTAATTGTCACGAAAAATGTAAACGTAAACTGCTTTCAAGTAATAGGGTTATGTTTTCTCAATTCTGATTTGCTATATTGATGAAAAATTATTTCTTATCAAAGTATGAGACAGGCTTAAAGTTTCAAAGAGGATCGTACCTCATGGATCAGCATATCGCGTGTTTGAAAGCAAAAGCGGCTCTATGCCAAAAATGGCCTTCTCCGACAAAATGAAGGATCCATCCACCATCATATAGGAACTTTTCCTTTTAAGAAACTCTTCAAAGTGAATGGAAATCAACGAAAACTGGTCAAATTCTTTCGTCGATGGAGAAACGATCTTTTGCTTTTTAGAAGTCGAAAAAGTCTTATGTGAAATAAAACTATCCAATTTTCCTTTTTCAATATATTAAAAAAAATGAAATTTTCCCAAGGAATATGTTACATCGCGTTTTGCATTAAATGTATTTGAAATATTTACCAAATAATACTATGAGTAATAATTCTCCTGCTTTCAGCTTACCTTTCAGTGAACTAGCTTGGAATCGAAGTTGGGGAATTATTAGAATATTATGGAAATGACAATCTAATTACCAATTCCAAAATCGCATTTTTTCTGAATTTTGATTTTTCGTATAAAAAATTAATAATAAAAAATTCAACTCATCCATTTTTTGGCAATTTCCTTTGATATAATCTAAATTCTATGATTTTGTTCCTTGTTTCTTAATGAATTCCAACATCAATTAAATCTGTGTAAAATCGCGGAACTGGAGACACGGAGTAATCGGCGGATAAAGGAATTCGGAACCGTTTGCACTATAAGGGATCTTTCTCGACTACTATTACTGACGACTACTGCTGACAAGTCCTGACTACTCGCTGTTACTGACTTTAAGTGCCGCGATGCACTCTTTTAACTTCGATTTTTTTAATCGTTTAAATCCATGCAGGTTAATAAAAATAAAAAAAAATAAAAATAAAATAAAGTAATAACTTCTGGTAATAACGCATTTAGAGACGATTCCAAGTGTAAAAATTCACCTTTCTGTTTCATTTTCGTACGAGTCATATCGATCGCATTTTTTTTTAGACTTGGTTCGGATACGGAATTTCGGTCGATATAACTCATTGTTTTATTGTTTCGATTTCTTTTATTTTCAATTTTTTCCGTTTTAATTAATTATTAAAGTCATCATTTTCATGAAAAAGCACGACTCCTGACATCACAAATACGTGTATTTTCTTCTATCACATTGACTATCAACTAAGCAATATTTTACTTTTCAAAAAATTTTCTAGATTTCAAAGTCTTAATTTGAGTCTTGAAAGTCTTAACTGGAGCTTGCAAGACTCAGAGTATTGAATTATTAAATTCCTTAATACTAGAAAAAAAAGTTTCTACTTTTTCCAGATCCGGGTTTGCCATTCTAGAAAACTTATTCTTCATTGAAGAAAACTTTTTATTCGATCAAGAATATTAAAAGATTTTCTCTCGATATCGTGAAACTTTTTCGTTACAGCACCCCGTATTATTTACCCCTTTAGCCAGATTTCTATTAACAATACTAATAAAAAATTAAAAATGGGACAGTATCTGGGGATAACTAAAAAAAAAATCCAAAAACGATAGTTGAAAACCATTTGCATATTTCTATGAAATATTTTTGTTTATTTTATATTTTACGGTGTTTTTTTTTTGGCCTTTCCTGCAGGGAGAGGAATATTCAAGAAAAATTATAGAAGTTATTACGAATTTTTTTCAAAGCTTTCAGTAATTCTTATTGATTATTTTTTCTGGCCAAATTTCGACCAATAGAATTGCACCATTCGACGAGACTACGGTATTAAATTGAATATTTTTCGAATATTTTGTCTCTTACCTATATACATGAAACAAAAAATTTTGATTGTGTTAACCGCTGACTTAAATTGACAGATTCAATTTAATCGTATTTATGGCATGTTTGTCTCTGCTCAGCAGAATCGCGGATTACGGGTCTAATTTATAAAATAGTACACGAAACACGTGCGTTATGGATGTTTTGACTCGTGGGATTGTAAAACTCGCTTTTCTCTCATGTTACAACCCTCCCATGAGCCAAAAAATGTATTATGCACTTGCGTAATATACTATATTCATCGAGTGAAATATCTCTTCTCATCTTTTAAAATCTCTCTTTTTTAGTTTAAACGTCTTTTCTCATTCTTTGAATATAGACTTCATCTCATGATGCAATTCTATCGGTTGAAATTTGAAGGAACAAAATAATCCCTCAAATACGACTCGACTTTGGAAATTAATCGGATATTTCTTTCTAGGTTTCCTGCAAGAAACGAGTCAAGTTTTCCAGAAAAAAACAACATTAACCTGGAAACCTTACCACGTTCATTTGTTTTCAACCAATTTACCGAGAAATGTCTGATAATTTCGAAGCCCTCGTGGTATTATAAGTAAAAATTTCTCTCCACGTGGGAAAAAAAATGGTAAAGTTCATAGCCCGATAATCGTAATCGTTCGAAAGAGGTAGATTTGTACAAATAGAAAAGTCGAACTATGTAGGTCAGCCATACGCGAAAATGAGTCAAGGATCCAAGGACATATGGGGAGGGATGATCTGTTCTCCACGCGGCAATAAGCCTGTAAATAACTATTACTATATTTTT